ATATCATCTACTTTTTTACAGAGGAAAATAAAAGTAACTATTGAAGTTGGGTGTGTTATTACCTTTGTTTCATCCCATCTAACTCTTCGATTTCTGTCCAAGTCATAATAATGTATACTGTTCTTGCCTTCTTGGTGAGAAAGTCATAGTTATATGCATGCAGCTTTTACTTTTAAACTCTTTGGAAACTGGAGAGACTTTGAAGACAGGAAAATGATTTTAGGGTTTAACCATATCTCTTGTTTATATTTGTAGGCTAGTAAAAACTCTGTTTCAATTCCATTTCCGTTTTGAGTTATTATGCCTATCAATAAGGAGTGTGCGAGTGATGCAAATAGTTCGAGCAACGTTCACTTGCAAAAGAGGCAACGAACAGAGGATAAAACTCGCTCGGCGATGGTGGATTTCGATGTTCTCGATTGTCCTGTTTGCTTCGAGCCACTAACTATTCCCATCTTCCAAGTTACATTTCAACTTTGTTGATTAAAATATTTTCTCAACGAGCATGGCATTAGTTGATTTTAATATCGCTTTGATTGTTATTCATTGGTTTTTCATTTCAGTGTGATAATGGACATTTGGCTTGCTCTTCTTGTTGTCCTAAACTGAGTAATAAGTGTCATGCATGTGCTTTGCCTGTTGGGCACAATCGATGCAGAGCAATGGAGAGTGTGCTCGATGCAATCTCTCTCCCATGCCAAAACGCCAAGTTTGGATGCACCAAAAGTTTATCTTATGGCGAAGTATCAACCCATGAAGAGGAATGTATCTTTTCACAATGCTCCTGCCCTGCAAAAGACTGTTGTTACACTGGCTCGTACAAGGATCTCTTCGAACACTGTCATAATACCCACTTTGGAGGTCGCAGGCCAACAGTCTATTGTAATAGGCTCCGTTGTGGCGTTTCTACTAGGGCCTGGATAAAAATCAGTGATAAGATAGTAATTTTAAGGGAATGTGGGATGCGTCTGTTGTTCGTAGTGCAATGTTTCAGGCAGCCATATGGTGTGTATGTAACTTTAAGCTGCATTGCACCATCTGCTCCAGAAGTAGGGAAGTTCTCATGTCATTTATCCTACACTGTGGATGGACACACTATGACATACGAATCACCAGAGGTGAAGAGGAATCTTCAAGTGAGTTTTCAAACACCCGAAGAGAATTTCATGTTGATCCCTCGCAGTTTCTTGCGTGGTGACTTGCTGCATATGAAACTTTGCCTCAAGAAGTTGAACCAAGAGTGAAAAGGTTGGGGTTACTTTTATATTTCTATGGAAGCTCATTCCATCTCAGCTGTTTTATTTAATATAAGTTTTAATTTGACGAATTAGATCAGAATATGCTTGATGTAATTTGACGAATTAGAATGATCATTCTCTTTCGCTGTAATTTAACAAATTAGCAGATTGTTAACTTAATTTGGAATTATTAAAAATTGAAACTTTTTAAAACGTAATGTGAATTACATATTTTAGTTTTTCTAGGACTCGAACCCACGAAATTGTTA